GTTTTTTGACATAACATAAGTGTGGTTGAGCTTCAGGACATGAACTGAAGGGAAAACATTCTCCAACAGAATTCATGATTTTATCAATAATGACAAGTCTTCCTGAAGTATCAAAGCAGCTCATTCTACCTCCACCATGTTTGGCTGTTGGTATACCCTTTTTATGAAATGCTGTGTTTGTGTGACCTTAAATGATGCAGGTGAGGCCTGCAGTTCTTTAGATGATGTTCTGGGTTCTTTTGGGAATAACCTGGATGAGTCATCAAGGTGGAATAATTTTGTAGGCTGCCCCTCCTTGGAAGGTTCACCACTGTTTCAGCTTTTGTGGATTATGGCTCTCACTGTAGTTCACGTGCCTGAGTTAAGGTCAGCGTTCATGATCCAATAAACCCTTGAAAATTGCTTAGCGATCACTTTTCAGACTGATAGATGTCAATGACTTTGTTTCTCAGTTGTTCTTGAGTTTCTTTAGATCGAGGCATGATCTGCTGCTTTTTTAATAAAAAATAAACTGTTAAAAAATAGTTTCATGATCTGAAACATGTAAGTGACAAATATGCAAAAAAGCTCAAAATCAGGAAGGAATCAAATACTTTTCCACAGCACTGTAGGTGGTGAAATTAAAGTATCTTTAGATAGAGGGAGATGAAATAACGACAACTGATGGACAACACACAGACCAGACAGGGACAGATATATAAACTAATGAGACAAATATTGCTCCCAGGAGATGATGAAAAGCAAAACAGAGCTAAAGGAAGAGTGAATATTAGACTGATACTGTGATATCACTCATTTGTTGGAGGCTAAGGTTACACCATGTTTGTGTGCTATCAAATCTATGACAGCGCTATGTGTAAGTGGACAGAAAATAATTCAATATGGGGTTCATACACACAGTGCTACAAGCAAGATTCACTGGTGGATTTAAGCACTTTGAATCAAACCCACAGCAAGGGGGAAACGGCTTCATCCTATTACGTTAAAACTTTGAGAAATGTTCAAGTAGAAACCAATGGAGAGAAGACCTCAATATTAAGATCAATTTGTCTGTGTGTGAACTCACATTGCAGGAGTACTGCTGTGTTTTAAAAGTCCATGGCTACATCTGTTCTTGTGTTTCCTGTGGCCCACTAGGACACACATTATTTTCTTCTTATTTTCAATTTGGACCAAAGAATTAATTGTTTCTTTATCTGGCTGCATTCATATGCATCGTCTATTTCTGTCCGCTCAGGAAAGTGGGACAAGATGTTAATTCAAGATATCGCCTATTTAAAAGCAAAGTTGGTGATTATTTATTTTTTTAAATTAGTGAAAGAGTCCATATGGAGCCGTTCCCATCCAGTCAAAGTAGCCTCTGTGCAGTGCCACTGAGCAGAAGGAGACTGGACAATGCAGCAGCAAGAAAAAAAAAGAAGTGTGGGAGTAAGCTGTGATGGAGTCCTGTGATCTCTAAGCAGTTTCTATGGCTTCACTTATGCACCGTTTATCTACCGAATATGGAGGAACTAGCCATGAGTGAGTGAGTGAGTGAGCATATTTTTTATTTTTTTATGGAGAATGAAGAGGAAGGTTTATGTCATATCAGTCAGCCTCTATATTTTCTGCAGGCGGAATAATGGTCAGGTACCTACTCATACTCTGAAAGGAAAACTGCGGAGGCAGATACGTCTGTGACGAGTTTCCTGAGCCCTGGGCCAGTGCAGTTATACAAGACAGCCCTCTTCCTTCCTCTCGTTTATGGACACCACAGTTCCTTTTGGGATTTCACAATGAAAGGTGGACAAGACACAAACACATGCAGGGTAATTGTTGTGTGCATAAAAATGCCCACGTGCTGCTTTAGCATTCCTTTTATTCTGTAACCTCAGCTTCAGTGTTGCTCTTGTTTTCTTGAGGGCAGTATACTATGAAAATTGCTGTGTAGTCCCTACAACTGAGATGACCACTATTTAAACAGGGTTGCTATGTTAAGTGGTTGAGAAATATAAAAGACACACAAATGAAACACAAGTTTTTGTTTAGCAAACTGGACAGTATACCTTAGCTAGCATTTTAAATCTACAAAGCACTTGTACTCTTATAAGCTGCAATCCTGGATTACATCATATGATGCGACCATAATCAATACAGCAGTGAAAAAATGCTAAATGAAATGCATAACCGAATTTCACCAAAGAGTTAAGACAATCCTTACAGGTGGGTGGATGGAGATGCAGTTTTATGACTTCCAACAGCTGTTACGGATCTGCACAAATGAATGTTTAAAGTGAGAAACTATGGTGATGGGTCTGACATGATAGATGATCGTGCCTTTTCTAAAACAATTACATCTGCCCATAGTAGATCCCATATCGCTGCTTCCCTAGCTGACACAAGTTGGTGAATGGTATATGGGATTTTGTTTGTGGGGCTTACAGCACTGTCGAAACTTGACCAAGAAGAGATGCTATAGAGCGTTTTTCAAGAAAATTTGTTTTTTTTTGTGAGCTGCTTAGAGCTTTATTCATTTCACATTTTCCTGTGATGGATAAATGATTGAGTTGTAGTAAGGCATGCACTGGAGCTCCACCATATACCATATATAAGACAGCTGTTTGGGCAATCTTATTACATTTAAATGTTGAATCTCTTATTAAGAAAAGCAATTTAAGGTTTCAAATGTTTCAATAAAAATCAGTAAATATGCCTCCAGTAACATGGCCTTTGAGTCAGATGCCTAATATTGATATAGAAGCGGTGCATTTAAGGCACTTAATTAAAAAATACAGGTCTCAATTTAGCTTATTACTCCGCCCCTTCCTTACTCCCCATGCTGCTGCAATCCTTGTCCATAGTCTTATTACGTCCCGCATTGATTACTGCAATTCCCTCTTATTTGGGCTCCCTAAAAGGTCCCTTCATAAACTCCAACTTCTTCAAAATTCCACAGCTCGGGTCATAACTCACACTCCGTCAAGAGCTCATATTACGCCAGTTCTTCAGCAGCTTCACTGGTTGACCATAGAAGTCAGGATAAACTTTAAAATATTACTTCTCACGTACAAGTGTATCCATAAATCTGCTCCTTCCTATTTGTGTGACCTGCTCCATATCGCCACTGTTTCCCGCCCTCTCCGATCCTCATCTGCTATTCATCTTACTGTTCCGTCCGCACGTCTTACCACTATGGGGAACAGAGCCTTCAGTCGCTCTGCTCCTCGGCTCTGGAGCTCTCTTCCTCCAGCCATAAGAAATGTAGACTCTCTTCCCACATTTAAGTCACAGCTCAAAACACATCTGTTCAAACTGGCTTATTTGCTTTAGTGCTGATTTTACCTGTTGTCAAGTTCTGCTTTGCAATTTTAACTTATTTTATGACTATTGCTTTGTTTATTAATGTTGTTCTTTTATAAGCTGACCTTGGGTTTTTGAAAGGCGCCCTGAAATAAAATGTATTATTATTATTATTATTACTCATGGTGATAGTTGGGCTACTCAATTTAGTATGTATTGGTTTCATCCTGGCTTTGATCTGATCTGAACTCCCTGATTAATCATTTACCATAAAAACAAATACATAGAAAAAATATACCACGACCATTTTTATCCAGCAAAAATGTCAAACCAGCTTAAAATAGAAGGCACAGGCACAGAATGGTGCGAGGGAGACAGCGGGTAAAGTGTTAAATATTGCACACAGAGCAAACAATTCGACAATAATTCACCACTGAGTGTGCATTTGGCTGTGAGATTTCAGCTGAGCTGAGACTTTTTTTTCTTTTTCAGACCGCTATTACATGAATTAGTAGGATGTGTCTCATCACCACTGATGGCTCATGCTAACCCAAAATTGGAGATGAGTACAAGAACTGAATCATTCTCTATTGGATTTGTACACCCACACAGGTGTTTTCATGTATTCTGCTGGATTACATGCTGGTGTTAAATGTGGGCAGACGTAGTGTGTGGCATAACTACAGTCCAGGTACCGATAAGATGCTGAAAAGGTGTAATTTGTCCTGACAAAATGGGTGTAACAAACTAACAGATGAGTCAGAGAGTTGCCAATCAAGCAAAGTCTATATATCCAGACCTGAGAACAAGTTTAGTCCAACAAACTTAGAGAAATCTTATTATTTGCTGGCAGTTTCTTGGTAGCATGGTTGCCAAACAATGAACTAACTTCTAAGTGACTTTCACAGTGAAGCTTACACGATTCTGATTAATGTGTGGGTTTTGCTTAGTGGACTAATCTTCAAGCTAAAGTTCATTACTCAATTAGAAACATTCCCTCTGTTGTTGTGTATATTGTTGTCTGGCTGTTCACCAGTGTGTCTTTGCTTAGAACTGCATGACGCAATGACAACATTATTGCCTCGTGTAGATTTCACAGGCTTCTGAAAACAAGTCCAACAGAAAAAAAAACATGAATGTAAAAGCTGAAGATGGTACTTTATTGCAAAACCAACAAACTGTATTTCTTCAGCCTCCACCTACCTCTTGGTTTTTAACAGAAACCGGAGAGCTAATAAAGATATAGAAAATGGAGCTGCTACATAATCACTAATATAAAGAGGTAAATATTTTCTCATTTCAGTCAGACTTCAAACAGTTGTAAATAAGGATGTTATAAAAGAGGGCAGCGGGTAGCCTAGAAGCTCCCTGATGTCTCTGAGATTGTGATGTCGGTGTTTCAAATTCGACAGGTGTCCGAATAACTCCTTTTAATCGCAGCCGCAAAACAAAGTAATAACAAGATTAAACAGTAGGCTGTTTGTAATTCATATTTCCATTTGAACGGACAACATAATACTTTGAACTCACACTTTATTTCAAGCTCCTCTCCAGCGTGAGGCTGAAGCATGCGGTTTTAAGTCCCTTCTCTCTTCCCTGTTGATCTCTCCTTTTCCGCACCTCCCATCCCCGTATTTCCCTTTCTTAACCCTGTCCACCTTTTCCTCTCTTCCAACAAGTGAAGAGCGTTTTTTTTTGCACGTCTTCTTTGGCGCTTTGAATTGAGTTATCGATGTCTGCTGGAATTTCTCTCCCGCGCCATCCCCTTGTCTATTTTGCCGTTCAGTTGCGATGATGGTGCCAGAGTGCAGGTGCAGCATGTGTTGGAGACAGCAGGGACGGTGTGTGGTGCACTAGGACCAGGGAGCGATTCCTCTCGTCTTGTGCATTGCAACTATAGAGGAGCTGTGGAGGAAACCCCCCCATCGGATCTGGCCATTATATCCATGCATTTCTTTTCCACATCTCCACCGCGCCGCGGCTGAGTGGGGATCGCACCAATCAGCGAGCCTAGGACGGTCAAGCACCCAGGAGAGGATTAGCAGGCTAACCGAACACTATTTGCGTAAAAGTCAGCTGCCAAATATTTTTTTCGGAGGGGTTAGTCGTTTGACAGCTTAGCCCCAACTCGTTTTGATGTTATGTTTTATTTGCTGTAGTAAAATCGTATTTTTTTTCTTCTTCTTCTACCCATCATCCGTTTTATTTCAAGCGCGCAAAGTCACATCTGCGTAGGAGAGCACTTGGCGCACTTCTTCCCCAAAGGACAGAGACAAAAATCTCCATTCTTCTGTTTGGATTTAAACCGGACGATCGGCTGAATGGGTGACCTCGCCGAAACACAGACTATCACGAGCTTGCACACACTATATGGAAACCTGTTTTCTCCATTGACCTGGAGTTGTGATGTCCAAAGCCTTCCTCACTGACTGACAAACGGCGTCTTACCATTTTTGGAATCGAGTTGAAGGTAGGCCAGTTTTCTTTTTTCTTTTTGGCTTTTCGACATAACACGGTTTTTCTGACCATCTGATAAAGTTCGCAGACCTCATTTTAACCCACTCTTCTAATATTACAACCATAGATTGATCGCCCCTGGTCTGTGGTTCTGTCGGACAGTTGCAGTAGTTAATCTAGAAAAAATACACGGTGGAGAAAGGCTAATATACATCAGTATAATAAAGCTCTGAGTCAGTCAAACGCTTTTAAGGGGAGAAGTTCAACACATGCTGTGGAAACGATGTAATTAACTTCGAATATAGATTACAAAGGGCTTCAAACATTCAGGAAGCCAAAAGATAAATAATTAAACTAAAGATATGCGTCGCAATGTGAGAGGCAACCTCAGTGCCTGCCTTTTTTGTTTAGTTTTTTTCTTTTTTTGGGAATGAGTGGTCCTGTTTTGTGTATTTGGCTCACGATATGTTTGCTCATGAGCTCAATCATGGAGATTCCGGAGAAACCCTCTGCAGTGCAGTCTCATACATCGGGCCGCCGGGCTCACTGGAGCTCACAAAGGAGAGGATTTAGATAAAGGTGTAAACGAAGCAGCAGCTTTTCCTGAAGGCAGTCTACCAGTAAGCCTTATTATATGCACAATCCTGTCTTTATACGGAGGGATATGGGCTGCTGGTTGCACCGAGGCAATGATTTACCCATAAAAGAGAGCCTCAAAAAAACACAAAACTTATTATGCTCTCTCTCTCTCCCTCTCTCGTGTGTGTCACGTGCACACCCACACACTCTCAGTGATAGTTTGAAATGACTGTGTATGTGCGTGAGAGAGAGTGCGTCACTGTACTTAGGCTGTAAAGCTTAAATTGGAGACATATTTGAATGCCAAAGCTCGCGCACATGCTGTCATTATTTTACTGCCCGAGCAAAGCTTATCCGCGTCATTACGCAAATGTAACCGTATTGAAATGACAGCTTAATCGGATTGGGTTCCTTGCCATTTTGACCTACTGTACGAGTTACCCATGAGGGACGAACAGCGCGGCCCATTGGGTGGAAACGTACAAATACCGACGCATGACGCAGGGACATGAGTGATAGGTGATGATCCTATTTCTGGAAGTGCGCCTGGATTATACATGTCTGAACAATTTAAGCGCTAGTGGAAACATCAAGAATC